GGCGTCACCCAAACATTGAGCTTGGTGATCCGTCCAGGCCTTCGCGAGTGCCTCCAAACCTCGTAGATACCAACAGGCAACGTCTTGCTAGAGCTAGGTGTCGTTAAATGCAGTCACGACCAGCTATGGGCGTGACATCGCCCGTGTTCGTGAGGCGACTCGTTTAGCACTGGTTGCATCTACATGCCAGACGTTCTCCTCGTACGATTAGCCATCTACATCATCGGTTCCATGCTTCACACATCACTTTTACTCTATAGCCACTCCTTCTTCCTGTGTGGACAGTTAAAGGCACAATATGTCCGAAGTGTACTGTACTTATTCGAATGACGCCCAAGATATTCCGCACTGTTGTCTCGATGCTTTGTTTTTTTGTATCTGGTTGATTTGTTTTGAAAGAAATTATAGGAAGGCCTAGCGTTAAGTGGTGGGAATTTAGCTAAACGCGAAAAGCCTGAACAGTGGGTAGATTCTGGCTTGTGTGTCTTTGTGTTCAAGAAAAAGCTAGTGGATTCATCGTAGACGTGCTTCATCACTAATGTTATTCTATTAATTTGCCGACTGCTGCGAACGCTTTCTTGAAATGGCAAACTGTTTGAACTTGCCTCAAGTGGCCACCACGCTTTGTGGATAAATAATTGCTGACAAGGTCTGTTTGAAACCGTAAATGATTGGAGGGATCCTTACGTTTTGCATAAATATTAACCAGTGTGGTTTAATTTCAGGAAGCCCTTTCTGTGTGATTTCAGCCTTTAGAAATCGCATTCACCTCAATCTGTTCCATTCGAGTCACTAAATTTTTTGCGATGCGTTTTATACTAATGCACTTGCAAATTTTGCACCAAGCTTACAGAAAATATGCACTATTCTCGTTCTGATCTGTCATTAGTCGCTATGACCAGTTTCTTGCTAGCTATCGCAAAGTTATTAACACTATTTTTGTATGTAATATTCCCTTTGTTCTTGCCTTTTTTTGAAAATTACCCCTTAACTTAATCTTATCGAATTTGTAATGCAGGGTGATAAAGGGGACACCACATTCAATCACTTCACAAGGGTTTCACTCTCTACATTATCAAACTACCTCTGCTGCACCCATTGTGACTGGATCTAAATCTCTGAACGATTTCACTTCTCCCTCCACATCGTCTACGGAACAAGGAGTCATTATCGAGGAAGAGCAGTCCCTTGGGGAATTCTCCGACATCGCTGAAGTTTGTTTTAATTGTTTTTCCCCTGTTTTTTTATGGCCTCTGCTTGTACTTGTAGTTTAAAATTTCTACTTGTGGAATATTTATTTTAGAACGTGCACTTATGTAGAAAAACCGTTGCAGTTGCTGTCTCTATTTGTAATCTCAGTAGCAAGTTGTTTGCTCAAAGTGAACTTGGGCTTATTTTGACCAAACTAAATCGAAACTTATCGGGGAAGACAAGCAAGTGATTTGACCGCATAAAGTGCCAAAAGTCACGGTAATGTTTTCGCCAAATAAGTTTGCATCGAAATGTCTGATATTTTTTGTTGTGAATCCAGGCTTGTTCGTTCAATTGCTTAATCGGAAAATGCAGGGTCCTCTTGTTGCTTTGATGAATGATGCTCAGGCATTGGATCATTAGTTTGTGGTGGATAATTAGCGGACGCTTATCAGTGGAAGCTTGTCCGGACATTTTGACCGCTGGTTGATAAGTCTCTGTGACTCAACCTACTTTCAATTATTCTCTGGTAACAAGGACCCAAAATATCTTACTGGCAAATTAAACATACATCAAGTTAAATACTTTTTTTGGTTGAAAGTGTGCACTTTTGCTCTTTACTTGAAGTTATTGTAATATACCGCTACAGTACATGTATTGCAGAATGATAACAAGTCTAAATGAATGACTGACGTCTTGTGGTCCTGGTATAATCACATTTTTTGCATTCTTATGAACTTTGTACGGTTTCCAAATCAACTTGTCGAATGTTTTTTGTTGATATAAAATGGTTTTGTTAGTTTTATGTAACTTTCATTTTCACGCGATTTGCGATGCTGAATAGTAATCAAAACCTACTCTAATCCTACGCTGCCAATCTGCAAATTAATTCCAGCCTGCGATTTAAAATGTTGTATTCTGTTCCAATCGGTTGAAATTGAATACAAATACGCGTTTGAGTTATACGAAAAGAGCATCTTTGTTGGCACCATTTAAGTTTAAATGACATTTATTAAATGTTACGAAAATATGCTATTTAGATATTTTACTTGAGATTCTTTGTACGAGCTCACAGCGCTACCTACGTTTGATAAGAAAACTACGGACGCTAAAGGTTGCATTGTTTTCGGCTGATAACATTAGTTTTGTAGCATTTAGGCTTAAAGTGATGCTTTTGTGCTATTTAGTTTACTACGTCAAATCTTTCCGGAATAAACTTTCTGAACTTTTACCCCCTTTATTACAAAATCACCACTTATTGAAATTTAAGAAAATATCTAATGTGCACGCACCAAAAATAATTATCTATTAACGTTTAATGGACTTCTATGGGAGCTCAGAAAAGAACTTTTACTCTAACATAAAAGGTAAAAAATAACTGGCTAATAGCAACTTAAGCTGACTTTGCGGAATGCAAAAAAATGATTACGTATTAAGGTTTGCGAACGTTCGGTAGTTTATGCACGGACGCAACCGTAAAGCTCCTCCTGATTTCGGACGCCTAATTAGTTAATCAGCATCACTTCTAGTCAGCCTTCAATATCCTAAAGAACACCAAACTTCGTCGTGAATTGTTTTAGACAGTTCATCAGTTCTTTAATTTCCCTGAACATTTATTTATGTTACTTTTCACATCTTCATCCTCACTGCTGTTTTAACCAAATGAATTTTTAATGACATTATGGGCCACAATACATATAATGAACAATAAATCAGCAAAAGTACAAAACATTTACCATAACATCGGTACAATTCTCAGCACATCTTGTAGAAGTGAGGTTATTAAGAAATATTTGTACAAGTTTTTGGTTCCACCGCAACATTTATCCCTACCTCCAGCATGTGTTTTGCCTCGTTTTGTAGTGACGATAATGCTCGGAGAAAGTGCTTTTTTGAATAAATTAGGTTTGAATCTAAAACTTATTTTTCTTCGAGTTATGATATTCGAATTTGCGTTCAGGTAATATGCGAGTTGTTTCGACTTATTTTGACACTACAGACTTCAGAACAAAGTGTGCTCATTCCCAAAGAACCACCAGATTTCGTTAAACTGGCTCCGTACTTTGAATTTATCCCCAACAGGAAATATTCCTCGTTGTCACGTATCCGACAGAAGCGCTGTGGTAAGTATATGGAAATTGAGTTAGTTTGGTGATTGCGTAATGCCTTCCCATTCAGTGTCCTGCCTAAAATATATTAATAACTCAGTTTTGTCTGATTCCGGTTTAAGCATCAAAGCTAATGTTTTCGGGGCCAAATAAGTCGACAGCTACATGCGATTCCGCTCATCACTGTAAAACGTTTATTAAGGCGAAATGTTCATTATTCTTTGTCAAGTTCCAGTTAACTGCTTATGTTTATGTTTAATTTGTGGTTAAAGGTCTCAGATATTTATATTTAAGTAATGGCACCTAGGCCTGCTAATTTACTTAAAACAAATGACATACCAAATAAAATGGTTTTAGTAAAGATGTGCTAAGCTGAGCTCTCACTTCCCACAAAATACCCAGCGATGATAATAACGCGAATCTCCCAATTTTAATTTATGGGGTTTGAACATTTTTGTTTTCACTCCCTGGTCTATGGAGGTGAAAGCCCTGATCGTTGTCTTGGCAATCTTATCGCCTCGAACCATGAGGTTCCCGCCATTCGAAACCAAAGGCTACTGACATTGAGCGGAAACCTTCATTCGCTAGGCACTGTGATGTGCACATCAACGAATGCAAGGACCAATTGTGTGAATCGTAAAAATCAGGGATTATGAGTGAAATCATTGAAAAATGAATCATTGGGCAAACTGTTTGGATATATAATAATGCTAATAAATCAACATTGAAAACCAAGACTAAGTTTGCGCGGTTTTGAAATGAAAATTAAAAAAATATCCCGCTTTCCAGTGCAGTATGCACTCGCGTAATTACATGCTGAATGCTTGTAAAATTTGCAAATTAGGTCAAAAATGATGCATCTTTTTGCGTTTAATTAGTTGAATAACCGTGTAATCACGACTTAAGCACTCGAATACCTAATACAGTCCATTGTTCAAAGTTAATAATGCAAAATACACCGAAAATCCCAGATTCTTTTGTGCAATATGCAAAATTCATCGTCGTGAGTTCGAACAAGTTAACAATATGCGATTCTTGTCAGGTTTTTGCTTAATCCACTGAGGCAAAATTAATCTTTAGGTGCATAACATATTTGACACACGGTTGTATATGACCTTTAAATAACTCCTTCATTTGACTCTTCCCCTATGAAGGCTATTTAATGCAATCTGTTGGCAATTCCCGTTTGTATAATTAATAAGGTCGTCCACTCTCCCATGCACAAGACTTACGAGATTACGATCACGTGAGGCGGTTTACTGCCAGCATGATCTGTCTGTAGTTCCTCCTGCTTTGTCACTAACTGGTCCATTTCCAAATATTTTCCTATAGTCTGTATATGCAAAATCAGAACAGTGTTAATAATAGTATCTGCTGTCCCTGAAGTTACTTGTTACCTTATCTAGGTCTGTCCTTTTTATAAGAGTAACCTGAAGAAGGTGCATTGAGGAAACTCTCTGTAAAGTAGAAACATCAAATTCTAAACTTCATTACGATTCACTATAACCGTAAAGATCCAGCATACATTGTAGAGATATTATTTCCAGAATTAGAGTAGGAATGTCTGAGAAGTCAAAATTAACTTACCGAAAATGTGCGTCTGCGATCTGATTTCAGATGGAGGATCATTTAGAGTAATGATTTCGCAGATGGCGATTAAACTGTGTCGAGTATTTTGAGACCATTACCGATCATGAGCCGATGCAATTCAATGCACAACATAGCTACTCTAACTGCCACTTTGTTTGTGACTTTACTTCAGTCAATCTAGCGAAGGAGGTTAAGAGGGGCAACGAAGTGAGCGGCGATGGTCTCTACGTAAACGATGTTCTGGACAAATTGGCAACTGATACACTGGATTTTAAATTGGAAAGTCCAGCAATCACGCAAAACGTGAGTAAATTCTGTTGTCTTTGTAAAACAGTCTTCACATTCCAAGGTGTGAGCATCTTTTAACAGAAGATATCTGCTTAAACATCAATGTGTGTGCGTGAATTTGCAGCTTCCTTTTATGTTCAGGCTACTCCTATGTCAGCACTCAATTATGAGTCATTGGCCTTAATTTGATTACAAACTTTAAAATTGAAACTTTTGGCCAAATTAAGGTCTTTTTGGCGACGTCCATGATGTGGAAGTGAGCTGTGAATTCTCTTGCTGCGGTAAAGTTTGTCTCTTAGTGATCAGAATACATAATGAGGCAATCGTGCAATATCAGTGTCCACGGCGGGAAGTTTCAAAGCCATTTTTATCCACCTCATTCCGACGCCGAATTTCAGAACCTATTCGCAGCTTGTCTAACTTTGTAAATCACGGTGTTTTTAACTAAGTTGGGGAGAAATTATTTAGGCGGTGCTTTTGAATAATGTCTTAAGGGGGACTTATACACGCCCACGGCAACAGCCAACTATCGTAAAGCTTTTCGGAAGATTTCCTTTAACCATTTTCGGCGTAGCAGTGGCCCGTGTCAGTGTTATAATATCATCGATCCAATCATTCCTCCTTCTTCTCTTGGTTTAAAAGTCCGTAAAATCACCAGCCAACCCATTAGTGGTACAAATGGTGCCACTGTCATATGAGGGCCCATTTCGTAATTTTAACTCTTTGGAAAAGTTGTTCGCTCGATCAAGCGCGTCTACTTCATAAGACTTCCGGCTTCCATTCGCATTAATCATAATGAAAATCATGAAGTAATATTCCACTTTTTTGCGAACAAAGTATTTCCTACAGTTGTAGTAAAGTATTAGACAGACTGCTTCTGCGCCTCACTTTTGTTATCCATATAATGTCTCAAATGCCTTTTTGTATAAAATTCAAACCACTGTGGTATCCATTACAAATATTTGAGGACAATGATGACGACGATGATGCAGTATAAGCATAATAAATTTCTTAGAACAGCCTATGTCAATTATTAACAAATTACTTTTTAAAGTAAACGGAATTTTAGTGTTTCAAAGCAGCAAAAAGAACCTGAAACACGATCGGTGCTCGCGAGCGGTAGTCGAATCAACGGAGGCATATATTGGATGAACTTATTCCCAACGAAAAGTAGTCCATTCGAATTTAATGAATTATTTCGGAAAAATATTCAGCCAGCGCTAGAAGTCAGTAGCTACATCAAAGTTGGAGTTATCGGGTTATATTTAAAAACTTGAAGTCAAAAAGATCAGCCAAGAAGGGTTGTGCACTATTAGCGAATCGGTCAGATTTTGTTATTAAGAAAAAAGTTTTGGTTGCGAAGAGAAGAAGAGTTTACCACATTGAGAGGTATTTTGAATCTAAATGTTCTGCCTTAGACCAAATGATCTAGAAGCTTTCACATTTAATTAACTTGTATTTTGAGGAACACAAAGGTATGTTAACTGAAAGGAATAATGTTCAGTTAACGATGCTGAGCAAGCAGTTAATTTTTGGTTTCGATATTTCCGCAAAAATCCCTTTTTTGTTTCTGATCTTGTTGAAGTTCTTAAATAGCCGACTTAGTCATTTAGCCGTCTGCGTCCATATCTACGATCACAGTAATCCCAATCTTTAAATATATACTAGTATCTCACAAATTATTCACACATTCACGATCATGACAATGGCTCATCCCTGTTCTTTGTTACAATTCATAATCATTTATGATGTACTGTAATTCCTTCGAATATTTTCTTGTGATTGGTAACCTAACGGTCGCTTTGATTGGATTGAACTTTAGCTCCTATCTTCAAATTCACTTTTTATTCCCAAACCCAAAGTAGGACCCAAATACATTTGTATAAGTTTTTAAAGCATTACTTACAGAATTATCTCGTCCTGAATGGTCGTCTTTACTTTGTGTGCTCTTTAAATTCACTGCTTCCTCACTTCGTCGTTATTTTTGATATACATGACTGCTTTCTTCTGGCATTTTACACCATCCGGACGGAGCGACGACTTGAACATTAGCCTTTTCATGGTTGGCACTTTTTATTTGCTGATCCTATTCATCTCTGACCATGTGACTATCATTCATAACTTGCTGGGCTGGCAAATGGTTTGGACGTCTGAAGTGGCATTCGAGAAAGTGTCTGCATTTGAGGGTGGCTGAAAATAAAGACTATTTGATTGCTAGGATTATTATCACGTTGATCGTTGAGCTTGCTTATGTTGCATGTTTGTTTAATGCTTCGACCAGATGGGAACATGGTTCAAATAATCTGGATCAGTTTAATCCATTGGCCTGGGTGATTACCATCTTAAACATCTTATCAATGAAAACACAATTTTACATTGGGCTTTTTTTTTCCTTTCAGATGATAGTTTATACTATTAAAATGCTTCATTATTCACAATAAGATGTGGACTATTTAAATTATATAAATGCATTTAAAATGTGCAAAATGATTCTTATTCCTCTCATGTGTTCTTAGGGTCACATATTAACAAGCATTCAAGATCACCATGATGTAACCAACCTGTTCATTAAATGGTTTATCTATTGAGCCAAAAGTCTAAAAACACTTGCGGTTCGTTGGACAAGTAATAAAACGAATCCAACAAAACGACCATTTCATATTCATAAAGCCCGTCGTATGCAGAACTCAATGAGGCATCCAAGAGACGTTGTAAAAGTTGTGATGGTCTATTGGTAACTGTTCTGACTTAAAAGGCAACCACATATTCAATAAAATTTTGTATGAAGACTATGTGAATTTAAAAAAAAAAGCATTTGAGAACTAGGCAAACAGCTAGTGGTATTTTAAGTTACAAAAGTATGTGACCTTGCTGATAAAGTCAATGGGGAAGGATCAAAGTGTTTGTTAGATGTCTTCCTCATTGTGAACAAGAAATTCTGCAATTTATTTTGCTTTTGTGGATTTCGGTGAAGTTCATTGTGACGCAAAAAATTACGGCAGAGTGTTTGCCATGCAAACAATGCAACACATGTTTTTGCAATATGCGAGAATGAGGGCTAAAAGGCCAACCGTAACTCCCACAGGTTGAGTGGCATTTCTCTTACATTATTTCTGATGAATTCCTTTACGTTTCTGTTTAACACAGAAAGCCCTGTCTCCACCAGCAAAAAACACCTACCCCTTTTCTTCCTTGTCCGATGTGCGTCGCACAAATCGAGCGGATTCTAGAGCCAACGGGAACTCTGATTTTTCTGGAACTCACATGGAGGACCAAAAAGAGACCACAGATGAGGATAAAACAAAAGATGAGGAGTGTGCAATGGTTTTTCAAGTATGGAAACAGCTGCTCATTGCCGGTGGCATTGGCCTGGCTATAGCCTTTTTTGGTGCATCCATGCTTTCGGAGTTTGGTCTCCAGATCCCTTTGTTCAGCAAAGTCCCCGGCAGCTTCCTCTTCATCAATTGGGAATACTATTGCTACCGTCCGCTGCGGTCATTTCTGCTTGGCTTTTCCCAGTAATCGTCTCCCTTTAGAAGTCGCGTCCTTATGCTAACTCTTCAGTGGAATTCTGTTTTGTATAGGTGTCGTCAATTTCTCTTTAGCTCCAGTTCATTTATCTATGTGCTAATGTTTGATTTATATTCACGTCCCATTATATCTCTGGTCTGCTACCGATTCCACATTCACGATTCTTCACACTTTTCGGTGATTTTTCGAGTGCACTACCAAGTCTCCATCACCTGTATTCATGCAACCACAACCTTCATCAGTTTCCATTCTTCGTAGCATTGACAGTATTTGATACAGTGTTGCTTGCGTTAAGAAACATCTAAAGGTATCCATGGCTTCGTAATGTTAAATTTTTTACTTACTGTAGGTCTAGGCAGAATTACCGCTTGAAAATTAGATCAAGAGTGGAACTGGGTATTTACTTACTCTCTGAAAAAAATTCTGTTTTCACTTTAATCAATCAAACTCTTGCAAATAATGAGTTGCCTCAAAACCAACGAATCATTAGAAAAAAGAGTCCCTGACATAGATTATGTATGTATAGGGCTTTATTGTCAACAATTAAAAGAAAACATTAGTGATAATAATAATAATTAAATGTAACCTAATTTGATGAGGCGAAATCAAGCCGTAAAATAGCACCTTTATAACGCACGTAGAACTTCACATCACCCAGAACCCCAGAAGCCTACCCATACTACGCGCGCAGGCAGACAAGTACACCGTCTACTCCATTCTGGTGC